TATGCTACATGGCTCCAGAATTCGGAATATAAGTGACTATTTATTTAAGGAATAATCGGTCGCTGGCTTTGGTACCACGTGAATTTCGTTGCAGATTTCCTGGCTGTTCTATGCCTACTGGTGAAACACTGCGACGTTAAGCCGCTCGCCTAGAAAAGACTGACACAACAACAATGCTGCCAGACGTGGCAGACCCTGGAGTATCCGTTCTGCAGAGAATTTGGATGCTGTAGCCGAGGATGTCACGGAAGCGCCGTCGACATTGACAAATGACGTGACACCAAAATGGGTATCAATCGTAACAAATGGGTCTTTACATCGAATTTCGGTACAAGATTTGAGGATGTTTCCGTACAAAGCCCAGATGGTACATCAGCTGTTAGCTGCTGACCCCCAATCGCTTCTAACATACACTCAAGTCATCACCACCAAGAAGAATATGATTTTTCATAAAAATAATCATGAGTGATAAGGCCCATTCGCATCATAGCGGGTACGTAACTAAAGAAACTTGCGCTTCAAGAGCCATTACACCCGCTCAGAGTCTCTGTATGGTGTGCTATTTTTAGTGGGTCTTTTTGAAGTCGCGGTTTTGTGTCACCAAGCCTCAGACTCTTTCAGCTCTTAAAGACAAAATCCGTCAAGAATGTGAGGACCTATCACCGGAAGTCTCGGACAAAGTGATGGAAAATGCCATAAAAAGGGCTCAAATGACAATAAGCATTGGCGGCGGCCATTTATATGAAATGATATTCTCGATTAGAGGAATCTAAGTTCTTAATTATAGCCAAAAAAATCGGATGTTCACTTTTGCGTCACCCTGTATGTTTTATCCGATTTGAGGTTTAAAGTACCTCACATGCGCAATATGTACTCTACAACAATGATCTTTGAAATCGGTCCCGCATAATTTTTGGCTTCCTTACATGTCAAGCAATATCGAAAAGCTATTAAAGGGTTATTTTTAAGACAAATTATTTTAAAATCCGAAGAAAATTTTTATTTAAGTCAAAAGTAAAAAATTCTTCAAGCAACATTTTACTCTTATCCCATAACACCCACTTAAAACACTCCAACTCTAGATATTTTCCCTTCACATATATGAAGTGGGCACTGCCTGATGATTATGAGACAAAAAAAAATATACTAATTAAGAGAATTACTAAGCAACATCACCATCATCATCGTCATCATGTCACATCACATCACAGATGCAATTCAGAATATTTCTACTTGGGTTTTTATTGAAAAGGATATGTTTTTGACATAAATTGAAATACTTTTTTTTGTGTGCCACGTCAAAGGGGGAGAAAAAAAAAACACAGAAAATAATTTACAACTTATGTATGGTGTACATTTTCAAGCAGTTCAAAACAACATGAAGAGATGTCATTAGGAGAATTATTTTATTTGCGTATTTATATGTCTCGAAGCGTGTATTTTTATTTACACTATTGATAAATATAATATGTTCAAACGGAATACACGGTCTCTGTACCCTTATTTTTTTGGAAAATGGAAATTGGTGATGAATCTTTATCTTGGTCTTGAAATTTCACAAACCGGTTTCTTGGCTTAAGATAGGGTGTAAGCATTAAAAATTGGCACTAAAAGGTATTGGAAATTGTGCTCACTGAAATTTGATAGATGTTTCGCCTACAAAAAGTAAGCGACATTTTCCTGGACTAAGAAGCACTAATAGTCAAATTTTGAATGAAGTAAAAATTATATTTCGAAATATTACGAAGCGATCACAATATGGATTCCATGGAAGTATGTAGTAATAGTGGCGCAAACATTTTTATACCCTTTACCGTTTTTAACTCCACAATATACTCAAAGTATATATATTCTTGATCAACGAAAAAATTCTAAGTCGATCTAGTGATATCCGTAGGTCTGTCTGTTGTAACCACTCTATCTTTCGTAAAGGGGCTATATAGAACATAAATCAAGGTTTTATATATCCCCTTCAGAGATTCGGTATTTTGATGATTTCTTACTCCTATAACAGAACATTGAACATATGGGTCCTCGTTTTCTTATAGACCCCCATGCTTCGGTACTTTCCGAAATTTGGTATTCTGAGGATTTTAGACACATTTTTAGGGGAATCGTTAAAAACTCGATATGTAGAGATTGTCAGGGATATATTTAGCCTTATGGCTTAAGAGGGTATATATCACTTGATACGGTCAAAGCGTGCCTAATAACCCTAGGTCTCTTTGAACCAAATCAGTTTTACGACATTAAGAATCGATCAAGGGATGTCCATCAACAATGACAACTCTCGAAGTGAGCTTTCGATTGAGGTGAAACTTGGTACATCTTAATATTATTGTCAAACTTGAATCGAGTTCGAAGATAGGCAACATCGGTCCATTCCTTCTAGGGCCTCCAACACAAAAGTCAAAAATTTAAATATATTTTGACTTTTGTTATGATTATTGAAATTGTCAACCCCCTATGGAGTAGGTTACGAAGGAATGGATCAATATTGACAATTTCGTGATATAACATATCTTATGTTGATGAAAATATATAGATGTGCTAAGTCTGAATGGAATCGCTTTTCATGAACTTCATGGATATTCAAAATTTCGATCTTTTGTGGGGAGGTACCAGGAGTGGACTAATATATTCCATCTTAACACCAGACCAGTTAATAGAAATATTGGGATGTGTGAAATTTGAAGACAATCGGACTCTTACATCACACTTTATAAGAGTTGTAATTATTCAAAATTTTGACCCTCTGTGAGGGAGGTACTGGATGGAGTGGACCGATATTGTAAATTTTCGCACCTGATCTAGTACTGATGCAAATATTAGGATTTGGAAAACTGGAGTAAAATCGGATTATCCTTTCTCCTTCTGTGCAGACATTTTTTTATACCCTACACCACAAAGTGGTCAGGTTATTATGTCTTTGTGCATTTCTTTGTAACAGGCAAAAGGAAACGAGATAGACCCATAGTTCCTTTTGATGATCTGCACAGAATCACATTCTGAGTCGATTTATGTATGTCTGTCCGTTCGTCCGTCTGTTCGTCCGTCCGTCTGTCCGTCCATGTATTTTTGTAAACAAAGTACAGTTCGCATTTATTGCCCTATCCAGATGAAAGTTTTCACAGATCATTTGTTAGGCCCAAGGACGAACCCTATTGAAATTGGAGATAATCGGTAAAAATTTAGATATAGCTCCCATATATATCTTCGTCCGATTTGCCTTTTATTGTGCACCAAACGTGTAATATCAGCCCGAATAGTATGGAATTTTGCACATACAATTAGGCCTGAAAATAAGTATGCCAAATTTGATCGAAATCGGTTTAGATATAGCTATAGCTCCCATATATATTGTTCATCCGATTTGTTATTTTTGTCCTCCGCAGCCGTAATATGCACTCTGTAACAATAATATTTGGGGAAATATATCAAATGCAGCTCAGAAATGCCTTTGATAAATTTTATCGAGATAGGTGCAGATTTGGATATAGCTCCTATATATAACTTCTTCCGATTTACCTTTTATTGTACACCAAACGTTTAATATTTACCCAAATGGGATGGAATTTGGCACATGCGACTGAATTGAGTCTGGAAGCTAGTATGAAAAATTTGGTGAAGATCAGTTCAGATATAGCTATAGCTTCCATATATATTATTCATCCGATTTGTTATATTTGTTACCCACAACCGTAATATGCATTCCGTAACAACGATATTCAGGGAAATATATCAAATACAGCTCAGAAATATCTTTGCGAAATTTTATCGAGATCGGTTCAGGTTTTGGATATAGCTCCCATATATATCTTTATCTGATTTCAAAATAATTTTGCAACAAATGGGCAGTAGAAGTCCGAATTTAAAAGATACAAATGCTTCGGCACATTTAGTCCTTTGAACTTTAAATTGTAATTATTATCATAGCGTGTATGATTGAATTCTCCCATAAAAACTTTTTATTGTTATGTGGAGCTCTACTAAATTAGCAAAGTGGTGTAGGGTATCATAAAGTCGGCCCCGCCCGACTTTAAGACTTTCTTTACTGGTTTTTCAACGGAATTGTGTCAAATTTGGTATAAGATCTTAATGGGTTATTTCTCTGGTGGCTGAATATAGTCGGTGTAGATCCACATTTTACTATAGCACCGATATAACGGTAGAATATTCTGTAGTTTTACGATTTAAACCATATTTTTTTTATCGGGTTTGTTTCAAAATCGGTATTTGTAGTTTGTAATGGGTCCTGCAACTATTGTCAAAACATTGTCCATATTAGTTCCAGATTTCTATATAACGATACCCACCGATATTCGGCATTTTGGTGATCCTAGCCACCATTTTCACTTTGGTAAGTCGAGCAATTCACTTTTTTAATCAGTTTCATGAAGAAAACTTCCACTCTGTCGTACCTAAAGAAATTATCCATAGTTTTTTCCGCACAAATTTGTTTCTTTCATTAAGTACTTTGTATGTACGTACGTATATGCATGTGTGTGTGTGTGATTCATATTGTACATCTGTATGGTAAGTAGATACATGAATGAATGAAAATATCAAAAGCTAATGAACACCACAGACTTGCATAGAAAAAGTTCAAAAAAAAAAAAAAAAAAAACGAAAACAAAAACAAAAAATTTTAACTTTTCATTCCTTCTTCATACATACAAACACAAATACACTCACACATCAATATGCAACATTTACAGATACTATAGAAAAAAGAATAGAAGAAAAACTGCCATAGAAATAGGAAATAGAACATTGAAAAAAACACAGCATGAAAAACATGCAGACATACACACACACACAAGCACTTACATATATACACACACATACATAGAGATGCAGCTTAAGCTTTTCTAAGTTGTTTTTCTTTTCTCTATTTTATTTATTCATAACGTATTTATTAAGTATCTTAGGATGACAAGTAGACCAAAACAATTTCACTTCGTCTCGGTCTTCTCGTCATCGTCATCTCCATTACTTACCCCATCTAAAGTTTTGATGTTGTGCAAAGCATCCTGCGCCTTCAAAGCAGCCTTACGTGTATAGTACGTCACAAAACAGCATCCTGCAAGACACACAAAGAACAAGAAGCAAAAAAAGGAATACAAGAATACAACAACAAGTAGTACAAGAAACTGTAACATTTGACAAAAAAAAAGTAATACTCATAACATGGAATATAAAAACTATGCTTGGTATAAATGCTACTACAGAGTAAAAGAGAACGCTCTACAAAAACATACGAACATAAGTAGATATATATATATATGCAATATTTTATGGCCGCATCTTCATTAGTCGTATACAACAACAAAGTTGAGGTATAAGCTATACGACAAAAAAAACAGTAGGCAATTGGTCTTTAGAAATAATTTCTAAAGGACATAAATTACAGCTACTCGCCATTCAGCGATTGAGAGAGAGGGGGACACATGGCCTATTACTTGCATACCTCCAAACATTCGAATAGCATACTTCCTTATAGTTTTGTGGCCCACTTTCGGTTGGGCCTTAATTGAATATAGTATTGCATACTTGACACCATCTGATTAAGTAACTTTTGCAAAAATCCAAAACTACAAGTATTTCGTTTTGTTCCGCTAATTAACATGCAATCATTACAAACAGGTAATTAACGCTAATACTCAAATTTGGCAAAAACATGTAAACTTTACAAAAACACACAAAAGGGACGAACATAACAATTAACTTTTTTTTTGGGCAAACGAACATCATGCAATGCATTTTTTTGTTGATAAATAATGATGGGGGGGGGGGGGGGTATTTCCTTTTCAAATGTTTGAAAAAGTAATGGGTTGCACGAAAAGGACAAAGAAATTATGATTTTAATGAAATTGAATTAAAGTAAGCAATTATGTTGGTATATCGGTATTTTTCCATTAATTTTCCCTTAATATGCAGGGAACGAACAGTGTTTTTCAAATACGGACTAAAAATGGAAATTGTATTGAAATAGGTTAAAAGTTTACGTCATTTGGTACCCTTAGCATATGGTCATTATTAAATGTATATATTCGGAATAAATTTTTTTATACCCTGCAACACTATGTGTTGGGGTATAAATATTGGTTTCCCCCATAGGAAAGTGTATATGGATATTCCTATCTCGCCAAGATGAGTCGATCTAGCTATGTATGTCCGTTCGTCCGTCTGTCCATTTTAATTTGTAATCACGCTACAGGTCGCAATTATGGCCCGATCTTCACGAAATTTATAATGGAGGTGGGGCTAGAGCTAGAATAGAAACATATTTCTCTTGGACATTATCGCAAAATATTTAGGGGTTGATATGGATCAAAAACTGAAAATTTTCCTGATTTTGCAGTTGTTCTGCAATTATAGGCCAATCGAAGCGGGAGTTAGCATGGGGCTAGAGCTTAGGGCTAGGCAGAAGCCTACCAATTTGGATGGTCATCGGATAGTATTTAGCGGGTAAAATAGACCATATCTTTTGTGTTGAAAAAATTCAAAATTTTTCATTAAACTGCGAATGTTTTAAATCCCGGCGAAATCACAAAGCCATGACAAGGTTACTTCTGATCTTTACATTGATGTTAACATCCATCAAATCGGATATATAGCAAAATATGTGCGATATATATGTCTATCAAAGAAGATATGCTTGAAAGATCTATTATATGTCGAGAACGCCTGATCTGATTTCGACAGTTCTCATTAATTCAAAATGGCCTCTTGGCAGGAAAGAAAAAACGTCTAAAAAATGCATAAAAATATCTCTCTAAAGATGAAAATATTGATTTTGTAATATTTTCTCATATTTTTTCAATTTTGTCATATTTTTGGCATATTTTCATTTTGAATTAAACATTTGATAAAATTTCTAAAGCTAACAAAACTAAGTATTTACGATATCAGGATATCATAACCAGATCGTATTTATGGCCCGATCCTTATGAAATTTTGCATGGGGATAAGATGAGGGTCAGAATAGAAGCCTACTCTTTTTGGAGATAATCGCCATATATTTAGGGGTTGAAATGGACAAAAAACTGCAAAATTGTCAGCAAGTCGTAATTATCGCCCGATCCTCACGCGCATTTGTGTATATTTATTATAGTGTTGTAGGGTATTCAACGGTCGGCCCCGCTCGACTGTAGCTTTTTCTTACTTGTTTTTTTTTTAAGTTTTGCATTTGAATATTGTAATGGCTTATGACAAATTTTACCTACGTTATGTTCATGTCGTCGTATAGACCCCAATATAATAGCAACATTCGGTATTTTTAAGATTTTAACATAATTTTTAACGGATTTTATTGCGGAATTCGTTCCCAATGGTGGAGGGTATTCCAAGTTGCAGCTGCAGCTTTTTTACTTTTTAAATATATATATTAGCAATAAAACATGTTTGAGCTAAGGCGAATTTTCTTCAAATGTGCATAGTGGGTACAAAATCTTAATTTATTCGAATAACAAATATTTAAAATGTTATCCTGATTCCGGGAAAGTATTTTTTATTTGGGGTCCCTTGTACCCGGAAATTTGACCCAAAGCGAATATGGGCAATATGGGTATAATTTGAAACCTAATAAAAATAGCTATTACAAGAGGTCACATGAATGGATTATTTAAATCAATTGGGCAGTTGTATCAATTTATTGGACCCGGATTTTTCAAAGAATCCACCAAAAGTCGAAAAAGGTCCCATTTTGGGAGTCCACAATATATATGCCAAATTATAGTTGACACTATGACCTTTCCAAAATGTAACAATATGTGTTATTATCTTTAGGGTATATTAGCGTTGTCATTCCGTTTGTAACATTCCTAAATACTCGTCGTAGACACCCATCATAATCAGCATAAAATTCTAGGTCGACTTAACGAGGTCCGTCTGTCTGTCTGTTGAGATCACGATACTGCCTACATTATGACGTAGAGCGTCAAAATGAATTGCAGATCAATTTGTATTGTGTCTAGGATGGTTGTATTGAAAATGAGATGTATCGGTCCATGTTTTGGTATAGCGTCCATATAACGGTACCTTCCTATATTCGATAATTTGATAATTTTTGCCACATTTTTTCACGGATTTGTCTGAAAATTGGTCATAATGGGTCCTAGTTCGTGTGGCGAGATATTGAATGTATAGGTCCACGCTTTGGTATAGCTCCCATATAAAGGTAACTCCAGATATTCGGTATTTTGATGGTTTTTGAAACATTTGGTATAGCCCTCATATAACGCTACCTCCGGATATTCGGTATTTTAATAGTTTTTGCCACCTTTTTTTACTAATTTGTCTGAAAATTGGTGTTTGTAGGTCATAATAGGTCCTAGTTCATGTGGTGCAACATTGTATGTATAGGTCCACGCTTTGGTACACCCCCATATAACGCTACCTCCCGATATTCGGCATTTTTATGGTTTTTGTGATATTTCTTCGCGGATTTGTCTAAAAATTGGTATTTGTGGGTCCTAATGGGTTCTAGCTTCTTTGGCAAAACATTGTATGTATAGATCCACGTTTTTGTATAGCTCCCATATATCAGTACCTCCATATATTCGGTGTTTTGATGACTTTTGGCACATTTTCCCATGAATATGTCTATAAATTGGTATTTATATGTCATAATGGGTTCTAATGTTTCCTTCACCCTAGGGTGGAGGGTGTTTTTACTTGTTTTTGAATAATCAAAGATATGGTTTTTTACACCCGGACGAGGTGGATATGTTCAGTTTTGTTTCGCGAAGGCGGTGTTGGACATACCCAGAGGAAATAAAGCGCCATCAGAAGGCCGGCTACTTAAAAATCATATGAAATTTAAAAAAGTGTTGGATATAGCCAAAAGAAGGTTATCTCAAGCCCCGGCAGAAGGCCGTATACCTAAAAAAGCATAAAATGTAAACAGGTAAGCAAAGGCTATAACCGTGCGGGGCCGACTATGTGATACCCTACAACAATAAAATATGTTGAAAGCCCCTTAATGTCCAAATCCAAATCGGACGGTAATTGCGACCTGTATTTAATACCCTCAACAAATAGTATTGTAGGGTGTATTGATGAGAATTTTGATGAGAACTTTGAGAATCAGTCCAGCGGTTCTTTATGAAGAAACATATATCTAGATCGAGGAAAGATAATAGTACAAATTGTAACATTATGGAAAGGTTAGAGTGTAAGCTAAAATTGAATGTATTTTTTGGAGTTTTAAAAAATCTAGGTCCAAAAAACTAAAATTTTCATACAAGTCCCGAACCGTTTTAGATAACCTCATCATGTGATCACTTGTAGGATAACTATTCTTATTAGAATTCAAATAATACCATATTTTTTTAATAGGACCTGGTGTAACATGGGTAATGGAAATACCTAAATCTTGAAAAATTTGAAATAAATCCAAGAGTTTTTACTAAGATGGAGCTGTTCCGAATTTTCCAACTAAAGATAATGAACTTAAAACTAATAGATTAAAATCAGAAGACAACAAAGGAAAGGGAAATGTATCCCTTAGATAACTTTATTTCGAAAAAAATTGACAAGTAAAACACCCACGATTTCATTGAGAAGCACTAACAGCTCTATTTTGAATAGAAGAGATTTTTTTAACTAGTTAAAGTCGAACGTTTTTTCTAAGGGTCGTAGAATTCAATTAGATCAATGGAAGCGTTTTTTCAATGATTTCTAAGCAACTTGAATTTGAAAGCTTCGTCAGTTCTATTGATAGGAGAGCTTTATAAGCTCTTCTTCTATCGATAGAAGAGTTCCACCAGAGCTCTTAGAAGAGAAAAAAACTTCTATGAATAGAATTGCTTGTTTCTATGTATAGAATACCTTCAACAGTTATTCTATATTTAACAGCTCTTCTAGGAATAGAAGAGCTTCAGCAGCTCTTCTATGTATAGATCTTCAACAGTTCTTCAGCAGATCTTCTATGGATAGAAAAGCTTCAGCAGATCTTCTATGGATATCTCTTCTATCCATCAACAGATGTAAGAGCTTTAACAGCTCTTCTATGGATCTATGAGCTTCATCAGCTCTTCTATGGATTGAAGAGCTTCACCAGCTCTTCTATGGATTGAAGAGCTTCACCAGCTCTTCTATAGATTGAACAGCTTCACCAGCTCTTCTATAGATTGAACAGCTTCACCAGCTCTTCTATGGATAGAAGAGCTTCACGAGCTCTTCTATAGATTGAAGAGCTTCACCAGCTCTTATATATATTGAAGAGCTTCACCAGTTCTTCTATGTATAGAAGAACTTCACCAGTTCTCCTATGGAAAGAAGAACTTCACCAGCTCTTCTAGCGGCAGAAGAGCTTCACCGACCTATCTATGGATAGAAAAGCTTAAACAGCTCTTCTACGTAGAAGAGCTTCACCGGTATATTCGGTGTTTTGATGGTTTTGTCGACATTTTTTAAGGGGAATTGTTTTAAATTTCGTATTTGAAGTTCGGAATCCGTACTTCAGCCTATGGCAAAAAGTTACATGTGCAAGATTTCCTCTTCGTATAGGCTCCATATAACGATTTTAATTTAGACGGTATTTATAAGCTTCTGAATTTACGCACATAATAACTACGCTTATTTTGAATCTTCACAAAAGTTCTTTAAATAACATACCCCTATTGCTTATTTATCTCATTAAGGATCAAATATCCTCGCACTAACATTCTAGGCACATAAATGCCATTACCAAATATGATTAGAATTTCCCATGGAAAATGTTACCGGAACATTGTAATCTAATCACCAATATCCATTACATAGAAAGGGTTCTGTAGGAAAAACTCTCGCACACACACACATACACATTACCTCACATAAGTATTCATCGTGGAAGCGAATATAGTTTTATGAGCTTTAATGTTAACGATAATATTCCTACGCATACCACTATAGCCCAGGTATATGGCATAAGGAAGTTTAGTTATGAGTCGATTACTAATATTCAAATGGAGAGAAAGGTGTGGTCATAACATGTACCACAATTTACTTTCGATATAGAGTCGTTTTATCGGTCCACTTATTAAGATTTTGTTGGGACGCTTTTGGAGAGAGTGCGGGTTGGTGGTGCTGTTACGTGTTCATAACCTCAACTCGGAAGTGTAAATAATATATGGTAATATTCTAATTTTGATACAAAATATCCTATCGCCATGCTGTGCTCAGGAGGTCGCAGAGAGTGTGTGTGTTTGTATGTATGTGTGAATGTGTTTTGGTGTATACGACCTTTAACATATGTTTTACTAGCGATAACAAAATACTAACATTCCTAAAACCATAATGCTTAACAGGGGATAAAAACTAATGACAGCTGGTCAGTGGCATTAAAAGTGGTGCAGAGAGAGAAAAGAATCGGGCCTATGTTGGTTCTACGGATACCCTACATGGAGAGGAAGTCAAGGCGACTGAAAGTGAAGACTTTGGATTCTTTATCAACTCAGAAAAAAATTATTATAAAATTTATACAAAATTGTGATATTTAACCCAGACTGAAACCGACCTATGAATACGAACCTTCAAACCTCGTTTCATAATATCCCAGGATGAAAAAATCTTATCCCACCACATTGCATGTTAACATGTTGTAAGGAAGCCTGTTGGCAGCCATGTACACACGTTGCAAGAAAATCTGTTTACCACTTTTGTAGTAGTATTAGTTGTGTTGATATTACTATAATATCCCGTAATAATAAAAATAAGACTATTATCGGCATGAGGTACAAACACACGCACACAATCATGTATAGTAAAATTCTGGTCTTACACACAACACAAATCGCATATTTGTTTTTAGCTTTGCCAAGAGTATGGATAGCTTCGAGGGCGAAAAAAAAATATGTAAAATTACCCATAAAACTTTATTAACACTATTACATACTTATGTAAGTGTATGTGTATGTTTTCTTTCATCTTCGGTTGTTATACCATAACAATATTTCGTAATGTTTATAACTTTGATTAAAATTTGTTTGTTAGATATAATGTGACGATAAAGAATGTTTTTGCATCCGGCGGGAATACGAAATGAGTTAAATTCGATTTTTCCTTTTTTGGTTGGAGGGCAATGAATGCAAGGAAATTTCGGATGCGGCAAAGTGTGGTGCTATTTTTTGTGGTGTAAGTGGCGGAGTTTTTCAAAGATAATATCCATAAATATTGGTAAAACTGGTATTGGCTTCAGGTATGATAGTAAAAAAGGAAGATATTCTCATATAGGTCTGGTAGGTTTCTCATAGAAGACTGGAAATTCTTCCGATCGCAGGCCAGAAGTTCTACTCATCGAAGGCCAGAATGTCTTCTCATAGAAGGCCAGAAAGTCTTCTCAAAGAAGACCAGAAGGTCTTCTAAAAGGAGGCCAGAAGGTCTTCTAAAAGAAGGCCAGAAGGTCTTCTCAAAGAAGGCCGGAAGGTCTTCTAAAAGAAGGCCTTAAGGTCTTCTCAAAGAAGGCCTTAAGAAGGCCAGAGAGTCTTCTTAAAGAAGGCCAGCAGGTCTTTTCAAAGAAGCCAGAAGGTCGTCTTATAGAAGGATAGGAAGTCTTCTCATAGACGGCCAGAAGGTCTTCTTATAGACAGCCAGAAGGTTTTCTTAAAGAAGACCAGAAGGTCTTCTCATAGACAGCCAGAAGGTCTTCTTAAAGTAGACCAGAAGGTCTTCTCATAGACAGCCAGAAGGTCTTCTTAAAGTAGACCAGAAGGTCTTCTAATAGAAGGCCTGAAGGTCTTTTCATAGAAGGCCAGAAGACATACTCATAGAAGGCCAGAGGACCTACTAATAGACAAGCCGAAGGTCTACAAATAGATCAGTAGAAGGTCTATTTATACACCAGCAGAAGGTCTATTTATACACCAGCAGAAGGTCTTCTTATAGACCAGCAGAAGGTCTTCTTATAGACCAGCAGAAGGTCTTCTTATAGACCAGCAGAAGGTCTTCTTATAGACCAGCAGAAGGTCGGAGGGTCCGGAAGGCCACAGGGTCTTCCCATGGAAGACCTGAGGGTCTTTTCATGAAAGACCGGAGAGGCTTCTCATAGAATAGGAGAGGATCTTCTCATAAAATACCCAGGATCTCTTCTATTAGAAGACAGTAACGCCTTCTTATAGAAGACAGAAAGGTGTTCTCATAGAAGAGAGAAAGGTCTTTTCACAGAAGACCGGAAAGTCTTCTTACAGAAGCCCGCAAGGTTTTCTCACAGTAGCCCTGAAGGTTTTCTCACAGAAGACCCGAAGAAGGTCTTCTCTTATAGACCAGAAGAAGGTCTTCCCTTATAGAAGACCGGAGGCTCTTCTCTTATAGAAGACCAGAAGAAGGTATTCTCTTATAGACCAGAAGAAGGTCTTCTCTTATAGACCAGAAGAAGGTCTTCCCTTATAGAAGACCGGAGGCTCTTCTCTTATAGAAGATCAGTAGAAGGTCTTCTCTTATAGACGTCCGGACGGACGTCTTTCCTTATAAATAGGAAGGCCTTCTCACAGAAGACTGGAAGGTGTTCTCACAGAAGTCCAAAGGACTTTTCATAGAAGACCAAAGGGTCTTCTTACAGAAGAGCAAAGGGTCTTCTCACAGCAGACCAACGGGTCTTCTCATAGAAGACCAACGGGTCTTCTCATAGAAGACCAACGGGTCTTCTCATAGAAGACCAACGGGTCTTCTCATAGAAGACCAACGGGTCTTCTCAAAGAAGACCCACGGGTCTTCTCATGGAAGATCAACGGGTCTTCTCATAGAAGACCAAAGGGTCTTCTCATAGAAGACCAAAGGGTCTTCTCATAAAAGACCAAAGGGTCTCCTCATAGAAGATCAAAGGGTCTTCTCCTAGAAGACCAAAGGGTCTTCTCCTAGAAGACTCAAAGGTCTTCTCATAGTAGACTGAAAAGTCTTCTCATAGCAGACTAGGAGGTTTTTTCATAGAAGACCAAAGGGTCTTCTCCTAGAAGATCAAAGGGTCTTCTCCTAGAAGACTCAAAGGTCTTCTCATAGTAGACTGAAAGGTCTTCTCATAGTAGACTAGGAGGTCTTTTCATAGAAGACCAAAGGTTCTTCTGATAAAAGACTGGAAGGTTTTCTCTGATAGAATACTGGAAGGTCTTCTCTCATGGAAGACCCGAAGGTCTTCTCTCATGGAAGACCGGAAGATCTTCTTATAGATTTCCGGAAAGCTTTCTCATAGAAGAAGAGAAGGTCTTTTCATAGAAGACGAGAAGGTCTTCCCATATAAGACCGAATGACCGTAGAAGACCTGAAGGCCTTCCTGTCAACGAAGGTCTTTCCGTACAAGTTCTTCTCGGGATCTACATATATAAGTTAGTAAGTTTAATTATTCCGAGTCTTTAAATATTGATATCATTTAACTAATTTAATTAATAAAACAATAAAATTACTTATTGACATTAATTAAATTTTACTTACCTCTGCTCATCATGGTAACCTTGTCACGCAACACATTCAGCGTATGCACCCGCCCATACTGCTCGAAGAGTCCACGCAATTTCGTTTCATCCCATGCCTTTGGAACTTGGCCCACAAACATTTTTATCGTATCCGGATCCGGTTGGTCCTTCGAAAATTCATCAGTGGCCGTTGACATATCAGAACATTCCATGGGTGTAAATGGTACCAAAGCTAAACTGTCGTTAGTAGATTCGGGTTTAGAATCAATATTTTCAGCATTTGTATGTCCATCATCGGTGTTGCCGCCTACAGCGCTGCCACTCGTCATTGTTGTTGGTAGAGCATTGCTGTTGGAGAAAATAAAAAAAAAACATTGCGGATGAGAATAAAAATAAACAGAAACAAAATAAATTTTATTATCTTTATGCAAACATGAGCAGAAAAAAATGCAATTAGTTTTGACCCACCCCCTTCGCCAACTGCTAGGTGTGGAGTGATGGTACTCTCTAATATCCTTATTTACCACCACCCATCCCTGTTTTTCAAATGCCCATCTATGACGACCTACTTTTATTTCGATATTCTACTCTGGCTCACCGGAAACCCCTTCGGCTCCCCATTACATTTCTCGTTTTTTTTTTTTTTTTTTGTTTTGGAATGCCATGAAATTTGGCCAGTAGTGTGCATTGTGCCCTGCTCCGTCCGTGTAACTTCATTAAACTTTTGCCGGAAACTCAATTTTGTGTTCAATGTTTTGCCATGTTATTATGTGGCGGCGTTGTTGCTACGACTTTAACGAATGGGATTTGTTTTCCATAGCGGGTGATTGTTGTGAGGGAATTTGCGGGGCTTTTGCTGTTGAATATTATGAGTTCCAGCTAACAAACAACAAAAGCTAATTTACAGATACAAGAATTGTGATTTCACATCATTACATTGTAAATTGTTTATACATTTGTTCGCCATTGCCATCCACAATAGCTATATGTGTGTGTGTGAATGTGTGTATGTCAGTTCCTGTTGTGTTTCCGGTACTTTCGGTAAATATGCAACATTCACACACACACTGAATGCCAATACCAATACCAATTCGCCCAACAGATTCGCCACGAATTTGTACAATTTATTGAAATACAGATTAGATTAGATTTCCCATAACAATTGCTGAATATTTATACCTTTTTAATGTAATTCCCATTGAATATGCTCCGCTCCATGCTGTGGAATACAGCATCTGCTTTATTTCGGTAATAATCCATATATGCGATGATGGTTGGTGTAGGTAGGTAGGTTGCGTGGAGAGGTTATTCGTTTGATTTTCAGAAATATTTTATTGAAAATTGAAAACTCAAATAACAAAATTTCAAAACTCAAATGACTAATTTTCAGACAAATTTTCAAAATTTTAAAGTAGAAAAATAATTTACAAAAATTTCTATGACACATTTTTGGGGCGTTTTTATTCTGAAGAATATACACAGGTTGAAAGACAAAGTAGAAACATGGGTGAAAAATTCAACCAAACTATTTTTGCGGAAACTTGAAGCAACTTTTGTAGCATAGTCGGTGAAAGTCAAAGTTGGTAAAATCAATTGCTAATTTCTATGGGAAAAAGTTCCATAAGAAGTCGAAGAATTCGAAACAAAGAAAGGAACCGTAGATATTTTGGAATTTCTAAAATCCAAGACTACCTCAACACATAAAATCCATGATTTAAAATAAATCAGTTCTCAAATCATAGACTTTTGAAGAATATTTTTGTGTCGCAAATAAGGATCATCCCGACTTTTGAGTAATCTCAATTTGGGAATTATATCCAACTGTGAATCGATTTTCAACTAATTTGATGGAGGGTTTGGTACCTCTAGCACCAAATAACATTGTTGTTTAGAGCATGATAAGACTTCGATAAGGATCATATTTAAAACAAAACAGCAAGGAAAGGGCAAAAGTCGGGCGGGGCCGACTATATGATACCCTGCACCACTATACATATTTAGTACAGCTCCCGTAACAAAAGAATTTATTTCAAGTAGATCATAGATTAAGTTGAGTTATAGTTTGCTATAGAGTGCACGATACCACTTGGAGAAGGATTATATTAAACAAATATATATTGGAGTCGAGTTGCACAAAATGGAAACGTACGTCCCGAAATTCTCTCCATTTGGGCTAATATAAGACATTATATGCACAATAAACCTAAAATTGGATTAAGAACATATATGGGAGCTATATCCAAATCTTAGCCATTTTCGATAACATTGGGCAAATGTATTTCCGATATCTGGTACTAAATATCATTGTTGTCGAATTCATATTACGAATGTGAGGGATTTAACACAAAATCAGATGAAACATATATACGGGAGCTATGAACCAATTTTCTCCGAATTCGGTGTACTTGCTTCTAGACTGAATTCGTCCGGATGCACCAAATTCAGGACTATTTAACATATATTGGCCATTTGGTGCACAATTAACCCGAAACCGGATGAAGATTTATATGGGGTCTGTATGCAAATCATAACCGATCTTGATCAAATTTGGCAGAAAGTTTTCTGGGCTGTATTCGATATCTGGTAACAAATTTCTTTGTTGTAGATTGCATATTACGCCTGTGAGGGACTTTAAACCCAAATCGGATGAAACATATACAGGATGAGATGAAAAAAAAAAACTGCAACCAACTTCAGAATGCTGTCACCTCTAAGCCACTCGTCCGACAGCTGTTAAAAATATTCCATCGACGCCTCATTATATTGTTTACAAGCGTACAAAAGCATTTTGGTGGGAATTTTCCAGAAAAAAAGTTATTCGTTATGGAATTAAGGCGTGATATTGCGATTTCTTTATGTTTGACTGGAAAAAAATGCAGGTCAAGTGGCTATCGTTAGAGCACTCCAGCATGTAAATGTGAATAAATCTTTTGTGTCTCGTACCATCGCTCGTTCCCGTGGTATTGGTAGAGTAGCCCGACGTCAAGGAAGTGGACGTAAGAAAATAGGAACATCCATGGAACAATAAGGAGATTGAACAGCTACGTAAGACTATAAAAATACATCCTGAGACTATGCGCGAAAAAATGAATTAATTGCCTGGATTTTCTTTCAAAAATATGATCTTAATAGTTCGATCTTTCAATAACATGGCAGAAGTGGCGAATAGCTTCAATGCACGTCCCACCATGTAAGCGTCTCACAATCATTGATTTTGAAAATATTTTCTTTTTATTTTCTAAAACAATAAATATATACACAAAATTGGCAGAAGTCGGGCACACTTAGAAAAAAATCGTTATCAGCTGGTACCTCTACCTTATTACATGGGAACATCAGCAGAAGTGATTCAAAAAGTAAAGAAGCGACTTGATGGAAATCCGCGTCACAGTGACCGAAAAATGGCTCGTGAGCTGAACCTATCGCAATATTCCATTCGGCAAATATTGAAAAATGAGCCATTGAAATTCCAAAAAGTACAAGAACTTATACCGCAAAAGAAAGAAAATAGACTCAAAAGAGCTAAAGAGTTCATTCGTTTAGCAGAAAGTTGTGAACTGCCGAATTTGGTTTTCTCCGATGAGAAAACATTCGTTTACTTGCTAAAGAGGTCAGCTGAAAATGTGCACCTTCGGTTGGCCACCAGAACTCAAGCGCCGGCCATGGTGATGGTTGGGGCCGCTACAACAGCCGATGGTCGCTCTCCGTTCGTATTAATCGACCGGCATCAGAATAAATGCCGAATATTATCGCAAAAAAATACTGGGCACTCAAACATTTTGGCCGCAGACCTTGGACATTCCTACAGGACTCATTATCATTGCACTCAGCAGGCGCCACGCAAGAATGGTTCCTCGCTTCATATACAGCGCACAATGGCTACCAAAATCTCTGGATACCAATCCGTTGGACTATTGTGTCTGGAGTACGTTGGAAAGCAAGGTTGGCACTAAGAAATACCAAAGTGTCGATCATCGAACAAAATACCGCAGAGCAACATTCGGGCAGCGTGTGACGATTTCATTGGTCGTTTGAAGGCCATACTTCTTGCTAAAGGTGATCAATTCGAACAAATCTAAACTTATTCTAAAATTTTATGCTATTTCCGACATTTTTTACTTTCATTCAATAAAATTAAAAAAAAAAAATAAAAATTATGGCGTTTGACTTTGTTGCAGTTTTTTTTTATCTCATCCTGTATGGTGAGCAATAACCGTTAAATCGGATGAAGTATATCGAAGCTATATAAAAATCTGAACCCATCTCGATTAAATTTGTAATACTTAGTTCCAGACTGAATTCTGTCGGATATGACAAAATTCAGGTCATTTAGGCTGATATTGGTGCACAATTAATCCGAAATCGGATGAAGATATATGAATGGGATCTATATCCAAATCTGAACAGATCTTGACAAAATGTGAAACAATTATTTCAGAGCTGTACCTGATATTTGGTTCAGAGCTGTACCTGATATTTGTTGTGGAATGCATATTTTGCTTGTGAGGGACTTTAAACCCCAAATCGGAGAAAACATATCTGTGGAAGCTATAGCTGTTTCTGAACCGATTTACACCAAATTAGAAGTACTCGTTTATGTGATGAATTTAGTCGTAACTCCCAAAATGCATTCCATTTGGGCTAATACTTGCCATTTGGTGCATAACAAACCTGATATCGGATAAAGATATATATATATGGGAGCTATATCCTAATCTGAACCGATCTCGATAAAATTGGAAAGAAGTATTTTGGAGCAGTATTTGATTCCCGGTACCAAATATCACTATTTTTGTTTAATTTAGAATTGCGTTAAATATTGATTTTTAATGATTCCTGGTTGGTCCTTAATTATTTGTTAAAATGTACCCGCTACTGTTTATTGCAACCTTGTTCTTGGACCTTTGACATTTTAAAGAGTAGTCCTATAGATACATTTGAACCGATTTTTGATATACTTGCTTCTAGACTGAATTCGGTCGGATGTGCCAAAATTCAGGTCATTTGGACAGATATTGGTGCACAATTAACTCGAAATCGTTCGAAAATGTATATGGGAGCTATATCTAAATTTGAACAAATTCTCACCAATTTTAATAGGATTCGTCCTTGGACCAATGATATGTGGAAAATTTAATCTCAATCGGAAAATGAATGCGTCCTGATTTTTTCACAAAAATACATGGACAGACGGTCGGACGACTGACATGCATAAATCGACTCAGAAAGTTATTCTATGAAGATCCTCAAAATCTCGCTTCCTTCTCCATCTTACAAACAAATGCACCAGGTCATAATACCCTTACCACTATGTGGTGTAGGGTATAACAAGTTGAGTGAAAATTGAA